CCTCGGCTTCAGTTAACCGGATAAATGGGACGTCTGGCAAAGTTGGATCTCGGAGAGGAGTTGGAGCACGGAGAAAGTCTGTAACTTTACTCCGGCGGGGTGCTGAGTATCTGTAGGTTGGAGTGTCTCCGAGCAGCTCGTTGCAATCTCGGTTGCGATGGTGGAGCACGGTCCGAATTGCCTCTACGTTGGGAAATTGGTAGTTGGCTTGCAAGGCTTGGATTGCTGCAAAAGAAACAAGAAAACTGGTTAATTACAGAATAAAAAAGGTAAGCTGACCGAGCAAGTTTGAGCGGCTTACATGAGGAACCGAAGTTCTTGCTTATAAACCAACCCGGTACCTCGGCTGTTTCGTAATTACCCAACACCCAGAAAAAATCGTCGTCGTGCAAGTCTTTATCCGGGGTGCCGGTTACAAGTTTCTCCTTGCCCGGTCTGATTTTCAAGTAATAGGCTAGGTTTTCACCGGTGTGACCCATAGTGTATTGCCTTAATAACTCGGCTAGACCTAAGTTGGTGCCTAGTCGATTGTTCAGTTCATGGACGCCGTTGATAATTCGGTAAGTGTTGGTGGATACTTGTGTGGGTGCCAGCCCGGTGCGGCGGAGGAACTCGATGATAAGTGGGTTGAGTGGGAAGCGGAGGCCTCCTTCGACGATCGACAGCACGGTGAAGGGGCATTGTTCTGTTCTGCCCCAAGGCGTGGTCTCTTCTTCTGCGAGCTCTAGGTGAACATCGGCCGGGATGCCGTACTCTTCCCTGAACGCAGCTAGTGTAGCCGGAGTATCTACGAGGAAGCGGAATTTCCCCATTTATGACCGGCTAAATTAGCTCGGCTTTGGTTTGGCACTCTCAGGTGATTTGTGGCTGCTTGGTCTTTGGGAGCCTCAGGATTGGACAGTGGTCCCCTTGGACTCTGCAGGAAAAAGAAGGCAAGTGTAAGTGGGAACGCGGTCGCGCAAAGTGAGCTTGACTTTAGCTCGGTCATCACGAGTGCCAAACCACCTCGGTCGTAGAGGCTGACAAAGAGCTCGGCCACCTAAGCAGACCAGATTTTAGCCCGGTTGAGTGGCCAAAGACCTTTGTTATCCCGATTCTTGCTACGGTTATATCTAACAGGTTATTTGCTTGGTCGAGATGGTACATTGGATCAAACGAAGACCTGGAGCCCGGTCCGCCCCAGTTCTTCAAAGTTCATCAGCGAAAATGAAGAACACTATGAACAGTGGGAGGTTTGGGACGATTTCTATGGCTACGTCCTAAGAACTATGTTTTAGTACCCTAATGTGTGAAATATTTAAGAAGATAGCAACAAAAGAGGAGTTGAAGGACTTACCAGTGAAGGGCAGGGACTATTCCTTCGAGCACGAAGAATGGCAAATGAGGCTTGGAGAAAGTTGCTTGAGCTCTGAAGCGTCGGATTGGAGAGAGGCAGTAGGAGCGAAATGAGGAAGAGGGGGCTTGTATGTATAGACAGAGAAACCGCCAAGAATTCAAATTCTGGCGGACGGCTGGGTTGGTTGCTCGAGGTCCAATGGAAGCCTGCCACGTGTCCTCATTTATGACGACGTCAGAACTGAAAGGATGGGTTGAAGAGTCGAGGAGACAACCGGGCAATTTTTGAAGAAGATGACGTCTACCGAGGAATATAACTGAGCAAGTTTGCAGACAGGAATGTCAACTAGCCCAGTCGCCATTTCGCATTCTGAGGACCGAGGAAGTGTTATCCCGGTCGAAATAAGTAATCCTAGTCACGCTTTTGCGGACGGAATTAATGGGCAATTGAGAGGGAGATTTATGATTTGAGATTGGGCCGTGACGCTAACCGGACAGATTTGGGCCGAGGTATTGGGCTCCAAGATCAGGCCGTGATATTGCTCGGTAATGGCAAAGCCCACGTGGAACCGAGCTATATGATCTCGGTTCCGCGAAGGGCGGACAGGTGGAGGAACAGCCCAGATGAGGCTTCCTGGCTCACGCGTTGCAAGGTTGTAATGCACGCACCTTAACCCGGTAGGAAGGCCGGCGCTTGGAGCTTGGCCGAGAAGGTTGTTGGCTGACCGGCACAACCAATCTCCAGCTCAGCTTCGCTGGAATACAGTTGAGCAAGGCTGGAATTAGGCCCGATAGTAGGAAACTATATCAACTGCATTTCGACATGTTCAGTATGGCCGTTGATAGCCGAGATAATGTTGTCCGGCTGCCGTGCTCCCAGCAGAGTGGGCTGGCAGTTGGGTTAGGTGATGTATAGCAAGATTTGTGCTGACAGATGGGATAACAGAGCCACGTGTCAAGAGACCAATGGGAGTAGATTTGGGGGGCATAAGGGTATATGAGCATGTTTGCGCCCCCCATACGGGACACAGGAACATTTTGTAAGGAAATTCTTACACTCAAACACTCCTCTCTCTCTCTTTCTCTCTCTATCCTAAGATGTGTGCTAACTTGATCGTCGGAGGGTTTTTCCGGCCACACACCGCCGGGGAGCTCACCGTTATTTGCTCGTAGGTGATCGGACAGAAACGGAGCTCGAAAGAAAGGAGTACGGGCTTGCCGGAATATTTGCTCCCCGTATAGTATTCATCTTCCGTTCTTCTTTCATAACTATAATTAAGTGATAAAATTCGACTTGAAGCTATTTTCAATGTGTATCATACAGTATTAATTTATGAGTGATATTCACCTTCATAATAATCACATCTTCATATTCATTTGCTATACAATGATGGATTTGCTTACTTTTGCTAATTCAGTGATAAAATTTGATATACAATGACAGATTTGCTTATTTTGCCCAATTCAGTGAGAAAATTTGCTATAAGAATAATAGATTTGCTTAATTTTTTTAATTAAGTGATAAAATTTGTTATAATGATGGATTTGCTTCCCTTCTTCTTTCATAACTATAATTGAGTTATAAAATTCGACTTGAAGCTATTTTCAATGTGTATCATATGGTATTAATTTATGATTGATATTCAACTTCATAATAATCACATCTTCATGTTTATTTGCTATATAATGATGGATTTGTTTACTTTTGCTAATTCAGTGATAAAATTGATATACAATGACAGATTTGCTTACTTTGCCCAATTCAGTAAGAAAATTTGCTATAAGAATGATAGATTTGCTTAATTTTCCTAATTGAGTGATAAAATTTGTTATAATGATGGATTTGCTTCCCTTCTTATTTCATAACTATGGATTTACTTCCCTTCTTCTTTCATAACTATAATTGAGTAATAAAATTCGACTTGAAACTATTTTCAATGTGTATTATACAGTATTAATTTATGAGTGATATTCAACTTCATAATAATCACATCTTCATGTTTATTTGCTATACAATGATGGATTTGCTTGCTTTTGCTAATTCAGTGATAAAATTTGATATACAATGACAGATTTCCTTACTTTTCCCAATTCAGTGATAAAATTTGCTATAAAAATGATAGATTTGTTTAATTTTCCTAATTGAGTGATAAAATTTGTTATACGATGGATTTGTTTCCCTTCTTCTTTCATAACTATAATTAAGTGATAAAATTCGACTTGAAACTATTTTCAATCTGTACCATACAGTATTAATTTATGAGTGATATTCAACTTCATAATAATCACATCTTCATGTTCGTTTGCTATACAATGTTGGATTTGCTTACTTTTGCTAATTCAATGATGAAATTTGCTATATAATGATAGATTTGCTTAATTTTCCTAATTGATTGATAAAATTTGTTATAATGGTGGATATGCTTCCCTTTTTATTTCATAACTATAATTGAGTAATAAAATTCGACTCGAAGCTATTTTCAATCTGTACCATACAATATTAATTTATAAGTAATATTCAACTTCTTAATAATCATATCTTTATGTTCATTCGCTATACAGTGACGTATTTACTTACTTTTGCTAATTCCGTGATAAAAATTGCTATACAATGATAGATTTGCTTACTTTGCCTAATTGAGTGATAAAATTTGCTATACAATGACGAATTTCCTTACTTTGTCTAATTCAGTGATAAAATTTGTTATAACAATGATAGATTTGCTTAATTTGCCTAATCGGGTGATAAAATTTGTTATAATATTGGATTTGCTTACTTTGGTTAATCAAGTGATAAAATTTACTTACTTTACCTCATTGAGTGATAAATTATCAGGTGTTTTCATCTTCATCATGATACTTCATGTTCTTTTGCAATTTGAAATTTAAACTTTGCTATACATTTGCTTAATTTGCATAATAGAGTGATAAATTCTTATTAGTTTGCCTAGTTCAGTGATAAATTCTTCTTAATTTTCAATGTTCATGCTCGATGTTTTTGTATAGATATTCCCAGTCATCGTAAAAGATTATGTCGTCGAGAAACAAGTTTCTCAAAGAAGAAAAAGATTGACAAAGTTGAGTTTGCTATAGAGCCAACAACACATGCAAGTGAAAACCAACTAGAAGTTAAACCTGAATCTAACATTGACAATGAGGAGCCCAAACAGCAACAATTGAAACAAGCTACAGAGCTCCACAAAGCAAGAGGGAAGAAAAAGATTGATGGAAGAAAAACTAGGATTGAACAGATACATGATAATGAAGCAAAGTATGTCTACCGTTCTAACATTCAAACTCTTATCAAATTTTTCAAGACAACAAAACTCAAAGAGGAGCATTTTGCACTATTGAGAAAGACTCCTTTTTCACTTCTAGTTGATACATTGAGTGAAAACAAGGTTAAAAGAAGAGATTCAATTAAATATGATGATGTGGTTGTAAAAATTTTGCAAACTTACCTAATGGATGGAACCACATTTGAAATTGGTGGGAAGAAGCTTTTGAGGCAAGGCGCGTAGCCGAGGCCTCCGGGAACTCAAAACGAACACAAACATGGATAATCACCGAGTGTTCAAACGGTGACGTCCAAGTCTTGAGGACGGTCAAAAATGGGGTGTCTACAGATAGCTATGGTGCAAAGAAGGAAAATAACCGAGAGCAGAATGACAAGTGCTTCAATCCAAAAGTTGATAATGAAACTTTTGAGAAGCAACAACAATGAAGATGTAGAAGATGTTGTTAGGCTTGTGTGCCTTCTGGTTTGTTTGCTTTTGTTGTATCCGGGTACTAGGACTACAATTGGTTGGGGGTTTATGAAATACCTCGAGGATATTGACAAAATGAAGTCTTATGATTAGTGTGGCGCAGCAAAACAACATCTTACAAGATCAATAGCAATCAACATCAACCAAATTGATAGAGTGTGCGGATGTGTGATCGTCTTATTGGTAAATAAATACCTCACTTACAACTTATAAACTATAATATTTACATTTACGAAATACCTATTTATAACATTTTTTTTTTGTCCTCAACAATATTGGATATGAGAGCATACAAAGATCATCAAACCAAATGACAAGAACACAATCCCAAGATTTGCAAAATGGAACATCACACATCTGGGACAACAATTGGCAAAGTCATCCTTGCATGATCTGAAACATATTGAGGTATCCGTTGATATCCTTTGTTTTGTTTAAACAAATATTAGATTTTGTTATGCATTGATAAATTTTAGCAAGACTGATAAATTCTTCTTAATCTTCATGGTGTCACATTTCTGGTAGAAAATTATTTAGGCATTTCATCTGTGCTAGGAAATTATTCAACAAACAAGTTTTATCAGTGTATAACCTTTATTTCTTTAATTGAGTGATGAATTTTGCTATGCAGCGATAAATTTTGATATGAACTGATAACTTTTTGCTCACAGTTATAAATTTGCTTAGTTAGCTTCACTGAGTGATAAATTTTTCTTAATGTTGCTAATTCACTGATAAAACTTGTTATCATGAACCAAATCACTAGTCTTATTATAAATTTGAATCACCGAATAATAAATTATTACTTAACTTTACGTCATATCATTCTTTTTAATAATTTTCATTCATGTAGGACAACAGTTTGAAAGACACAATTGAAGAACAAAAAATATACAAACAATTGCAACCACAAATAGAGGATGAGCATGAAGATGAAGAATGTGACTTTGAGGAACAAGAACAAACTGAATTACCTGAAAAGAAAGAAGAAACAACGATCAAAAAGATATACCAACACTTGCTACTACAGACTGAAGAGGAGGATAAAGATGAAGAAGCTAACTTTGAGGAACAAGAGCAGACTAAAAAATCTCAAAAGGAAGAAGAACCAATTATCAAAAAGATATTTAGTCTCAGTCCAAGAAGAAATTCACCGAATCCCAAGCATCAAACAGGTGCTCGAAAAAAGAGGAAATCAACAACATTGCAATCAAAAAAGAATGCAAGAAGGAAAGCCAACTTTCAGCATGAAACTAAAGAAGGTCCGATTCAGGTGCAAAGAAATGAGCTTTCTTTTAAGAAGCTAGAAAATGATGAAGAAGAAACAATGATCAAACAGAAAGTTGGTCCAACAACTTCACCGGGATTCAAGCATCAAACACCGGCTGAAAAGAGGAAATCAAAAAGGAAACTTGCCTATGAAACAAATTTCTACCATGTCAAAATTAATGAACATACCTTTGAGAAACTAGAAGAGAATGTGTTGATAATCCAAAGGTTAGAAATGGAGAAGGCAAGAATCCAAGAAGAAAATGATGAGCTTAAGGACCAACTCATGAAGCTCAATAAACAAATGGAAGAACAGATCAAGAAAGCAAAGACACAAATGGAAGTGAAATATGCGGAAATAGTGCTACTTAATGAGAGAATTGCAATGTTGGTTGAATCAAATGTCTACCTGGATAGTCAAGAAGAACAAATCGCAGTTGAAGTTGAAGCCACCACTCCCAAAAAATCGCCTCTTGTGAGCTCAATGATAAAAAGAGTGAAAAATAGAGAAACAAAAAAAGAGTACAAAGATCCAGATTTTTGGTACATAATGAAAAAACAACCAAAGCAGAACGAGAAAGTTGATAAAGTAGAACCAATGGTTGAAGAAATTGCAAAGACCAGAAAAGAAGATGAGACACAACATCAACATCTAACAAAAGAAATTGACACTTCCTATCCAGTGTTTCACAAATTACAAAAGAAATCAAGGATGAAACTCACTAGTCTTTGGGCAACAAAAATCAACAGGTAAGAACATGATTTGGTCTTAAAATTTCCAAATTTAGAATCTAAATTTTAGTATATAGTCATGCATTTATCAATGTATAACCTTTGTTTACTTCATTCATTATAAATTTTGATATACAGTGATAAAATTTGCTACATAGTGATAAATTTTACTTAATTTGTTTGGTGGAGTGATATATTTTGCTAATCTTCATAGTGTCTCATCTATGGTATCAAATTATTTAGGCATTTGTGTTTATGTTCTGTACTTCAGTTCATTGTTGGGATTTGATACATCAAGTAAAATTTGATGCTCAATTTGTTCCCCTAACCTTTCTTTCATTAATTGAGCAATAAATTTTGGTATACAGTGATAAATTTTGTTTTCGCATTTGCAATTATTCAATCTTACAAGGAAAAGAAGTAGGTAGCTATTTGTACTTAGATGATATTGGCAAAATAGTCAAATGTGAAGAACTTTCTGGAAATGTAAAATCAAATCCCTATTTGTGCATATATCAAGCGGGCTTACAGGCTTTTTAATAATTTTCATTCATGTAGGACAACAGTTTGAAAGACACAATTGAAGAACAAAAAATATACAAACAATTGCAACCACAAATAGAGGATGAGCATGAAGATGAAGAATGTGACTTTGAGGAACAAGAACAAACTGAATTACCTGAAAAGAAAGAAGAAACAACGATCAAAAAGATATACCAACACTTGCTACTGCAGACTGAAAAGGAGGATAAAGATGAAGAAGCTAACTTTGAGGAACAAGAGCAGACTAAAAAATCTCAAAAGGAAGAAGAACCAATTATCAAAAAGATATTCAGTCTCAGTCCAAGAAGAAATTCACCGAATCCCAAGCATCAAACAGGTGCTCGAAAAAAGAGGAAATCAACAACATTGCAATCAAAAAAGAATGCAAGAAGGAAAGCCAACTTTCAGCATGAAACTGAAGAAGGTCCAGTTCATGTGCAAAGAAATGAGCTTTCTTTTGAAAACCTAGAAAATGATGAAGAAGAAACAATGATCAAATAGAAAGTTGGTCCAACAAATTCCCTGGGATTTAATCATCAAACACCGGCCGAAAAGAGGAAAACAAAAAAGAAACTTGCCTATGAAACAAATATCTACCATGTGAAAATTAATGAACATATCTTTCAGAAACTAGAAGAGAATGTCCTGCTAATCCAAAGGCTAGAAATGGAGAAGGCAAGAATCCAAGTAGAAAATGATGAGCTTAAGGACCAACTCATGAAGCTCAATAAACAAATGGAAGAACAGATCAAGAAAGCAAAGGCACAAATGGAAGTGAAATATGCGGAAATAGTGCTACTTAATGAGAGAATTGCAATGTTGGTTGAATCAAATGTCTACCTGGACAGTCAAGAAGAACAAATCGCAGTTGAAGTTGAAGCCACCACTCCCAAAAAATCGCCTCTTGTGAGCTCAATGATAAAAAGAGTGAAAAATAGAGAAACAAAAAAAGAGTACAAAGATCCAGATTTTTGGTACATAATGAAAAAACAACCAAAGCAGAACAAGACAGTTGATAAAGTAGAACCAATGGTTGAAGAAAGTGCAAAGACCAGAAAAGAAGATGAGACACAATATCAACATCTAACAAAAGAAATTGACACTTCCTATCCAGTGTTTCACAAATTACCAAAGAAATCAAGGATGAAACTCACTAGTCTTTGGGCAACAAAAATCAACAGGTAAGAACATGATTTGGTCCTAAAATTTCCAAATTTAGAATCTAAATTTTAGTATATAGTCATGCATTTATCAATGTATAACCTGTGTTTACTTCATTCATTATAAATTTTGATATACTGTGATAAAATTTGCTACATAGTGATAAATTTTACTTAATTTGTTTGGTGGAGTGATATATTTTGCTAATCTTCATGGTGTCTCATCTATGGTATCAAATTATTTAGGCATTTGTGTTTATGTTCTGTACTTCAGTTCATTGTTGGGATTTGATACATCAAGTAAAATTTGATGCTCAATTTGTTCCCCTAACCTTTCTTTCATTAATTGAGCAATAAATTTTGGTATACAGTGATAAATTTTGTTTTCACATTTGCAGTTATTCAATCTTGCAAGGAAAAGAAGTAGGTAGCTATTTGTACTTAGATGATATTGACAAAATAGTCAAATGTGAAGAACTTTCTGGAAATGTAAAATCAAATCCCTATTTGTACATATATCAATTGTAATACCAAATAATAATTCTCTCATTAACCTTGTTTGCTTTTGTTTTTAAAACAGGCAATAAATGCGAGAAGAGCAACTGAAACCAAAGTTCAGCCTGAGCTCGCAAGCAAGAACAACATATACATTTACTACATCATGCCATGTAAGTAAATTATATATATATATATATTTCATTACAATATCATCCATTCCCCTTGTCCATATCAAGTGCATAAGTTTTCATTCATCCAGTGTTATAGTGATAAAATTACTATTAACGAATTACATTGTAATCAAAACTAATATATTTGCAAAACACAGTATTTGTTCACCACAAAGGATGAGGCAGAAACAAATCAATTGTTGAACAAAATGATGTTAGAAGCTGTCAAGGAAAGATATATTCTTTTTCCAATTTTCAATGAAAAACATTGGACATTGTTGGTACTTGATATTGAAAATGGCTTGTGGAAGTTTTACAATTCAATGAGACCAAGCATAGAAATACATAACCACTTAAATGAGGCAAACAAAGTGGTAAAACACCAATTAATTACGATATCATCCATTCCCCTTGTCTATATCAAATTTTATTATGCATTTATTTGTCAAACACCAATTAATTATTAATATATTTTACAGAGAAATGTTATTGAAAAATACCTTCAACATCACAATCCCAAACTCATTGAAGGTAACAAGTTTCATGAAGAAACAGAAATTGCAATGAATTATCCCCAACAAGTTGATCTTTCGTAAGTTTCTAAAAACCAAAACACATTACATTGATAAAATTATTATTGATGACTACTAACTTTAATGTCATCGTAGACTTGATTGTGGCATCATATTTTGTTACCTCATGAGAGAATATGTCTGTAACAAAGACATCTTTCCCAATTTAACAAAGGAGCAGTGCCAGCAAATCAGAGCAGATATCATAGATGCTTTGTTGACTAACCAATAGACAGACACCCAGCGAATCATTGATGAGGCAATAGAAGCAGTGCTTGAAGACAAGGATTTTTGGGACACAATAGACAATGACAACAATGCTTGAATAATTTGGGACAAAGATTATAATCATTTTGATCCTTACTTTACTTCAATGAATATTACAATGCTTGGTTGTTACAATATCAAATTTGCTTCAATGAAACATTCAATCTTTTTTAACCATATTGTTACCAGATCTGGCTTTTGATATAGGTATGTTTTATGCAAATTTCATGCAAAAAATTGATTATGATCTAATTATTTGTGTCAAATTTAAAGGTTAATAACAGGTTTGAAGTCACTATACAAATAAATTTATTTTTTTATAGTGATTTGTTTACACTGATAAATTTATCACTGTTTCAACAAATTTATCACTGTGAATACTCATAAATTTATCACTGTTCAAACAAAAAAACCAGCATCTCTCTCTCTCTCTCTTTCTCTCTCTCTCTCTCTCTCACATTCTTTTTTCCCAACTCAATTAAACAAAGCACTATAAAAAATAATAAAAGTTTTACCTAAATTGAAAATTAAAACACAAACACTATTATATTGTTTTGATCATTTTGGTTCTTAATTTGCTTCAATGAAACATTCAGTCTTTTTTATCCATATTGTTACCTGATCAGGCTTTTGATATCAGTCTTGTTTTATGCAAATTCATTCAAAAAATTAATTATAATATGATTATTTGTGTCAAATTTAAAGGTTAATAACAGGTTTGGAATCACTATACCGATAAATTTATTTTTTTTATAGTATTTTGTTTATACTGATAAATTTATCATTGTTTCAACAAATTTATCACTATGAACACTGATGAATTTATTACTGTTCAAACAAAAAAACCAGCATCTCTCTCTCTCTCTCTCTCTCTCTCTCTCTCTCTCTCACACACACACACATACACACATTCTTTTTTCCCAACTCAATTAAACAAAGCACTATGAAAAATAATAAAAAATTTACCTAAATTGAAAATTAAAACACAAACACTATTACATTGTTTTGATCATTGTAAAATTTAAAAAATAAGATATAAGTACAGTTAGAACAAATTTGTATAAAAAAAAAATTTTTATTTGTAGTTAGTTACACATGAGCTCAAGAATGTTGAAAAATCATACTATAATTTTACAATGCGAAATACTAATATTTAAGAATTAGGTATTATTAATTTTAAGTTGGTAGCTAATTTAATTTTTTTAAAAAAATTAATAAGTTTTACAAATATTTCATTTCAATTTAAAATATAATATGTTTATATTTCATTTGAACATAAGAACACTGAAGCATTTCCTAGACTAAAGTTTTGAACAATTTAAACTGAAAATGAATTGCAAAACTTAAAATATCTTGCTATTGTAGCAAGATATTTGCCACTGATAAAAAAAAAAACCACTATTGTAGAATCTCTCTATCTCTCTCTCTCATTCTTTTTTCCCAATTCAAGTAAACAAAACACTAAAAAATAATAAAAAATTTAACTAAATTGAAAATTAAAACATTATTTTGGTTCTTAATTTGCTTCAATGAAACATTCAGTATTTTTTAGCCATATTGTTACCAAATCTGGCTTTTGATATCAGTCTTGTTTTATGCAAATTTCATTCAAAAAATTGATTATAATCTGATTATTTGTGTCAAATTTAAAGGTTAATAAAAGGTTTAGAATACATTCGTAAATAAAAAATAAAAATAAAAATAATTATTTGTAGTTAGTTTATAACCGCAGTCACCATTTTCACCTTTACCTTCATCTTCGATTCACCATTATCATTACCACCACCAAATATAAAAATATTTTCTTAAAAAATATTTTTCTTCTGAAAATGTCTCTCCAAAAAAACATTTTTGTGGGACTCCCGACATTCGTAAAAAAAAAAAAATAAATAAAAAATTATTTGTAGTTAGTTACACATGAGCTCAAGAATGTTGAAAAATCATACTATAATTTTACAATGCGAAATACTAATATTTAAGAATTAGGTATTATTAATTTTAAGTTGATAGCTAATTTAATTTAATATTTTTTAATAAGTTTTACAAATATTTCATTTCAATATCAAATATAATATGTTTATATTTCATCTGAATATGAATATGAGAACGCTGAAGTATTTTCTAAACTGAAATGTTGAACAATTTAAATTGAAAATGAATTTCAAAACTCGAAATATCTTGCTATTGTACCAAGATATTTGCCATTGATAAAATTATCACCGATAAAAAAAATTAAAAAAAAGGTACTATGGTAGTACAATATTTGCCAGACTCGGGAAACAAAAGCGTGAGTCATGTGATTCAAGCCCTGCCTTTCTCATTCTCCATCGTCGGCAAAGCCCTTCCATTCTTAGGCGAAACAACGAACATAACTCAGGTGATTCTAACACCAGATCAGCCGATCTGAACACCAGATCAGCCGATCCGAACGAAAATACCGACAAAACATGCCTGTAAAGCATAAGCAATTCCGACGAAACATGCCTGTAAAACACAAGCAACTAAAACCCTTACTTCTCTCCCTAGTCAAACACATTTTCAAAAACCCTAGATATGGTTCAATTACAACTTGAAAATTTCAACAATATTAGGGCATTTTCGGAAAATAAAACTCGTGAATATGTGTAATGTTTGTTGATCAAGTGATAAGGGTGTTGGTTTTCAAGTTCAAAACTAGGTTCATTTTAAAATATATTTTTTTCATTTTGTATATAAAAAAAATTCAGTTAACAAAAAAGGAGGGAGTGGGTTCAAGAGATTAAAGCAGGGAGTGTGTTCAAGAGATTAAAGTGAGTTGTTCACATATATAATAATCAAACTCTACCTCTCGCTCG